AGGAGAAGGGAACATCTGATATGTGGACCATCAAAGGCCCAAGAAATCAGGAAACCCATGGTCTGGCCCTGTAACGTAACAGTGCAGACATGTCTGCTTCCCATCCGCTGCCCACAGCCCATCTGCCTGGATTGTATGGCCCCAGAATGATGTATAATCCAAATGCCCTTGGAAGAACAAAGGATCCCCACCCCTGCTTTAAAGAAAGCTTTGAAGGGAGCAGGCGTGCCTGAAATGGTCATTTCCTATGTGCAGGACATCTGAAATTCTTAGGGCGCCTTGGTTCCAGCTGCTGTTTTGGAGGGAAAAGGCAATGGAGAGGCTATTTCCTTCCTTGTGTATGTAGAAGGAACATTATTCTTTCTCTTCCAGCCTGCTAGAAGACAGGTCCTGATTGGGGGCCCTAGATTCTGTGACCTAAATCCCAGAATCGACTTGCTTAGCTCCTTGCTGGTCCTATCATCAGTGTAGGTGCTGTCCTGGCTATATGTAGGTCTTGACCCTCAGCCCCCAGTGTGGTCTCTGGCACTCACTGTGTGTGTTTTTACTGGGTTTTAGGGCTGGACTTAAACAGCTCTAAGAACACCAGAGATCTGCCCTAGCCTTGTGCCTCATGAAGCATATGCCCCTTCGTATACTACAAATGCTGAAAGGGAGAGCAATCTGTCCCTCTGTGGGCAGACCTAGGGGGCTTTGGGAAGACCCAAAGAGAGGGGACTGATGCAAGATGCTACAACCTCCGAGTCAGAGAGGGAAATGACTCTTAATGAGCAGCTCAGCTGGAGGGGCTCTAATGACCTGGGGTGAGAGTGGGGGGCCCTGGCCGTCACCTGAGCTCTTGAAGTCTGGTAGGAGAGAAAAGGCGACTGACAAGTTCCTGGTGCCAAGAGTTATGTCCAGCCTGCGGGGGTCTTTGGTGGGCAGTGACCCACGCCCCTGAGGAAGCTGCTGAACTGGTCTGAGCTGGGTCTGCAGCAGGTGCAGAAGCTGGGGCTCCGGAGCCCTATCAGCAGGATGGTTTTATACTTCAAGAACAGTTTCCTCACCTTAATTGGCTCTCTAGGGCCCTGGGGTAGCACTGGCACCTCAGAACAGTGCTGTTACTGGGAAGCAATTCCCGTGGCGATAGGAAGGAGGCAGGCGGTGTTTGGGGGGGTGGGGGGAGGGGGGATGTGGGCGATGTGCTTGCTGTTTGGAAAGGAACAGCTAGAACAGATTGGCAGAGAGAGAGACAGAGAGAGACAGAGAGCTGTGATGGATGACCAGGGTCTTGGAGGGGCCTCCTGTCTGCTGAAACTCTCATTCAAGTGGGATCTGTTTGTTGTGGAGATCAGAGAGCAGAAAAGACACCCTTGCTAACCTCTTGCTGTAGAAATGGGGCTTTACCTTAGAAGTCCAGAAAGGGCTAGAAACCTACCGAGTGTCACATAATTGGTCACCAACAGGGTCAGAAAAAGAATCCAGCTCCCTTGCCTGTGAATCCAGAACTTGCCTATGCTTGAAGGCCAGCAGGAATTGTAAAACTCCCATTGGCCGCTGCCCTTGGGTCCTTCTGTCTCTGCTCAGCCCAACTAGAAATGGGGACAGTGGCTTTGCCTGGACTGTCTGGATTGACTCTTGAAATTTGAAGAGTAAAGAGATAAGGCAGCAAGGACTCACCCTGTACATTTCACTTTAGGTGCTTTCTGACAGAAAATTTGTTTTGAGCCATCTGGTTTCTGGGAGCTTCCTACGGAGATTGGGAATTGTCTATCAACCTCTGCCACTTACTAGGCACTTAGGTCCAGATTCTGACTCTCAAGAACTCTCAGATCTGCTCCCTGTTCCTGTCTCATAGGCCCTGTGCCACCCCCCACCCCCCATGACCGGTCCCCTGGATGACCTCACTACTCTTATTGCCTCTGAGAATTATGTTTGCAAAGCCTTTACCTTCAATCCTGATCACACTTTCCTTTTCAGGGCCTGAATTTCTAATCCTGTAAAGGTCCCCAAATACAGGAGCTAGAGAGATAGTAAAGCAGATAAGGCACTTGCCTTGCACATGGCTGACCCAGGTTTGATCCCCAGCATCCTGTATGATCCCCTAATCACCACCAAGAGTTATTGCTGAGTGCAGAACCAGGAGTAACCCCCAAGCATTGCTGGGTGTGGCCCCCAAACAAAAACAAAACAAGGTCCCCAAATAGGAGTTTCACAAGACCTTCAAAGCGCTCCCCAGTTTGGTTCATTTTAGAGCCTCATCTCCTGTCATTTCCCCCCTTCCAGGTGCTTGTCTTAGCAAGTTTTTCTCCAAAACTTTCTCTCCAAAATTTTATCACCTAAAACCCCGTTAGGATGGTCCCCCCCCCCCGAAATGCCCTGTGCCTATTTGGAATATCTGACCCCCCCCACAATTGAAGATCCAGTTCAAATAAATCCCAGTTATTAAGACTGGGGTTGGACTTCTCAACATAGAGGTTGGCACTTGAAACCAAAATATATTCAAGGGGGGGGATCATCAGACTTTTTTTTTCTGGAAAGGGCTTTAGAGTAAATAATTTTGGCTTTGACTTGTATAAGTTCTGCCACAACCACTCAACTCTGCCATCACAGCAGAATAACCACCATGGACAATCTGGTTTTTTTCTTCAGTGTTGGGAGTTTAAACCTAGAGTGATGGAGACTAGTATGGCTATATCCAGGAGTGCTGGACCAGTGCTTGCAGAATCAGGGACTGAAGCCAGGATGTCTCACTTAAAAGGTGTGCTCTACTGCTTTGAGTCTTGTCCCCACAGACAATGGAAACAAATGGGCATGTCTGTAGTCTGAAAAAGCTTTACTTGCGAAAGCAGGGAGACTGTACTTTTCGATCACATATTTGAGGCTCTGTGTAGAGAGATTGGATGGATCTGAACCTGTAGAAGGGAGGAAATCAAGCAGGACTAGTGCTCTAGGAGCTGGTAGGGCCAGAAAGATAAGAGAAGGGGGAAATCTCAGAAATAAGAGTTGGGATGAGGCATATGGTGAAAACAGTGGAACCGGAGAGAGATTTTTCAAGAGATTGCTTGAAGAAGAGATGTAGGACATGTAGAAGGAAAATTTAGGGCCAAATTGCAAAGGGCCTTAACAAAATGATACGATTCTGTAGTCTCTGTGGAGTCTTGTAAAGTGTTGGGGGCAATGCAATGCAAATAGTTATGTGTTTTTATTTTTTAAGTCTATTTATTTTGATTTTGGGCTGCACCCAGCAATGCTCAGAGGTTACTCCTGGCTCTGCACTCTGGAATAACTCCTGGCATTGCTTAGGGGGCTATGGGATGCTGGGGATCAAACCTGGATTGGCCATATGCAAGGCAAATGTTCTACCTGCTGTACTATCACTCCGCCCCCTCTGTTTTATATTTTTAAATAATTCTAGCTCAATTAGAAGAATGATCGGCAGGGACAGAACTGGTTGTAGCAAGTCCTTCGTAGACTATGGCAGTGGTCCAGATCATTGGTTCTCAAACCAGTAGTACTGTGTTACGCCTAAGGATTATTTGAGAAACTTGTTAAAAATACAGATTTCTGGTCTAGCGCCTAAAGATTGCATTAGGGAGAATTAGGATTTTTGACAAACCTTTCAGATTTGAGAATCAGTGGTTCAGGTTTTATCCTAAGAGTCTCTGGATGTCAGAGAAAATAGCACATAGGTCAGCTGGGTCTGAGCAACTGCCCTTTCCTCCTCCCGTCACCTGTCTCTTCAGGAGAGCACCGTGTCTGGTGCCTTTTCCTTCAGGCGCCCCTACTGCTTCCGACACCCAAGTTTGGTCATGCTGTCTTGAAACAACTCTTCTACCTGTGTCTTTGCATTTCTACCCTCATTGAGGACTCCTGTTGATGAGCAACTGGATAAGCCTCTTCTCGGGGCTCCCTGTCTCCAGAGCCTTGTCCGGCTACCTTTGCTTTTAGGATGAAGGTTTAAGCTCTTTAGCTTAGCACTCAGGGCCCCGGGGGAGTTGGTGCCTGCCAGTCTTCCCCGGCTCGGTTTCAGCTGCTCCCTCTCTGTGCTTTTGCTCTGTGCGTTTGTGGTTGTGCGCTGCTCTGTGCTCTCAGAGACTTGCCCCATCTGATCGTCTTTCCTCCAACGTGCCCTAGTTTTCCTCATCCCTCCCCTCAACCCCCCCCCCCCCCTTCTCCCCGCTTGTCTGTGACTGTTATCTCCCTGGGAGATATAGAGTTAGCTGCCAGGGGACCCCTCTCAGAACCTTTGTGCATCATAAATGTGTGTCTTCTCTCTCTGAAGTCCTAATCCTCTGCTGGTGACGGACAATTGGTCACTATGGCAACTGGCTGTGACGTCACAGGATAAGGACTTCAGGTGAAGTGGCAGGAGCAGGTGAGTGTGTAGGAGACAGATTTTAATGTCTGCCGAAGCCCCCACCCCCTCCCCCACGTACTCGCTCCCTCGGTCCCCGGGGCATGGAGGGCTATCTCGGGCTCCTGCTGATTTTTTAAAGCGATGCGGTGAGAGTGTGTGCCTGGCAGCTGCGTGCTGCAGCAGTGTGGGGCTGACAGAGTGTGTCAACTTGAGCTCTGGCTGTGCAGGCACCGCTGCTGCGTGAGCCTGTTATTCCATTCTGGATTGCTATTTTGATACCCAGATTGCATCATTCTTCCTACGTATAAACAGGGGGTCCCCAGGGCCCTGCAGCTACTCACTTCTCCACCAACACTGTTGTTGTGATGAGCTCTATTTAAATGAGCTGCCGGATCGGGGCAGGTTCCAGCCACACATGAGCACTGTCATTTTGGGGAACATGGAGGGCTGAAGGATTTTTGGATCGAGTCCTAAAAGGCAGAGAGTGATGGCCTCCCGAGCTGTGCAGAGGGCGACAGAGCTAGTTCCTGAAAGTTGAAAATCTCGTTTTCTTCCTTCTGAGCTTCTGTTCCAAGGCACCCAGAGGATTAGGAAGGAGATGCAGCTAGGAAGAGAGTCGCCTCTTTGAGGTCTCCCCTCTTGCTGTTCAGTTTGGGAAAACTGCTGCAGAGCCTTCGAGATAAACAGGAACAGGAGGAGTCATCCAAGCCCTTTCTTGCAAGAGCGTCTCAGGTGAGCTGGAGAAATGCAGCCCTGGTTGAGGATGCACCAGAGAAGGGAGGAGAGGCTCCAGGCTGTTCCTCAGACCCTACCCAGGACCCAGCTCCCTGAGGCTTAGGCCCTGCAGCCTGGCTGGCTCCTGCATGTGGGGTGGGTGTTTCTGGGTGCCGGGGAAGCACCGTCCTGGGGGACCTGTGGTGGTCTCACCTGTCGCTCTTCTGACTTCTCTCCCAGGTGTTGCTCTAATCTCAGGGCATCAGGGGTCACAGGTAAGCCTGCTGGCAGCCAGGGCAGGAGCATCTGTCCTTTTAGGCTCCAACTCTGCTTTGCTAGCCAGGGAGGCATCTGGGGAGTGGGTGCAGTGTGTTTCTGGTGCAGGTGGTTGTGCCTCTGAACTCCAGGCTAGGGGAAGGTTTCAGTGGTATGTGTGGTGGTGGTGGTGGGGGTCTTTGCTGATGCCAATACTGGGGGGCTGCCCTAAGCTGGGAGGGAAGGAGCAGTGAGTGAGATGGCCAGCCTGCCTAAGGATACTGCTGGAGTTTTTCTTCTGTGTAGTGACTGGCAGGCAGATGGAGGTAGGACTTCTGACTTTGTGCAGCGATAATCGAACTGCTCCATGGTGCTAAGTGCCATCTGTATTTTTATAAGGATGCTGTAATTTTTTAGCTAACCCCCTATGTTGTCCTCTGGATCTCTCAGTCACCAGCTGTATGGTGAAGGAATTAGCTAGGTGAACTGCTGAAAAAGCTAAATCTGCAAGCTTAGGCTGTTCGGGTTTGGTTCTACAGGTGAGCGCTGGCAGGGGCGTGTCAGGCCATTTTAGAGAATGCATGCCCTGTTGGAGTCAGCACCAGGGCCCTGGACCAGAGCTATGGGAGGAAGGGCCTCTAAAACCCTCAGAGGGTTGCTTAGGCCTGGCCTCAGGCTGTGGTGTGTGTACTGGTGTGATGAGTGGACCCCCTTCTGACACCTTCTTCAGATTTCTCTCCCGCTCCCAGCCCCGCTGGTGTCCAGTTTACCTGCCTCTGCAGTTCATGCCTCAAGCCCACTCCTTGCTGCCTGGGCTCCGCACACTTTCCACACCCTTGCAGTGGTCGTTGTGGAGCAGACCTCAGCCTGGACCCTAAACCTGTTCCTGAGTCCTTTAGTGGAGTGGCGAGTTATGAGAGACAAACTGTGTCCTTCAACTCACTGCCACCTCCACCCTCATACCTGGATGCAGGAGACCATTGTCTGTCAGGTACCTGCCCTCTGTCAGGGAAACAAATGGCTGGCTGGTCTGTCGCATTGTACTTCACTTCTTGATGGTGCTTTTAAGCTGAGTGAGCCTGTCTTTCTCATCTGTAGCAGTTAGGTTCAGCTGTGGGGACAGGGACACTTGCTCTGAGGTGCAGGTCCTCAAACTTGGTAGTACATTGTACCCACCTGGGTGTTTTTTTTTTTAATTGCAGATTCCTCCCAGTCTCTATAATGCTCATTTAAATGGTACACAGTGTAAACTGGCCAGCAGTCTGGTTATAGGTGCTCTGTCTGGTTAGAAATTGTAAACAAAGTTTGAGAACCACTGGGCTATAGGCCAAAACTGCACCCCCCTCCCTCGAGTTAATTTTCTCCAGATAGAAAAATCTCTGGTTCTTTCAAAATTCCCCTTTCTCAAATCTTGCAGCACAGATGGGACTGGCTCTCGCCACCTTCTGGATTCCCAGAGCAGCCAACTTCAGTGATAGTTTGATCACTAGTACGGAATATTTACTTCTAATCACCTTATTTAGTGAATCAAAATAAAATGCACTGGTCTGGAGGAATGAATGAGGGGGGAATATTGCAGAGGAGGCAGGGCTGGGTGCCAGAGGCTGACAGACGGTGGTGGTGTTTGACAGAGTTCTGCTTGGGACCAACTTTGATGGTGATTTACTGCAGCCACCGTCGCTTCAGCAGGGCACGGTGGGAACGGTGCCTAGCTCTCGGGGTGGGATGAAAGTTAATTGAGCCAATTCATGTGAAGTGCCTGGGGCACGGAGGGGACTGATGGTAAAAGAAAATTTTCCCAGGAGAAAAAGTCTCCCAAGGAGTCGAAGTGCTGACTCTGTGACAGACAGGCTGACTAGCCTTGACTTCGAGAGCCGTTCTCCAGGGCCCCACGGTCCCAGGAGGCCCTCTGGTACCTGTGCTTTCTCTCTGCTGGAAGCAACAGCCCCAACTCCCTGGGGGATGGTCCTGTGGCCTTTGACCCCAGTTCTACATTTCTCAAAACTGGTGGTACCTATTGTGTTTGGAATACAAGTTTGAAGCTGTTGTTCGGATAATTCAAATAGAAAAAAGCCTATAATATTAATAATTTGTACACAGTGTGGTTTAAATATGTATTCAATGATTAAGTTAATGTTAAATATTAATAATGTTAATGTCTGTAGGTGTCTTGTCATTTTATATATACCCACAGCCCTAAGAGTTTAAGTGTTCTGGTTGCCTAACATAACTGATATCCACAATAAAAAAAATGGGGCTCCTCTATTTTTATTAAGTGTTTCCCCAGAGATTCTTGGGGGCCCAGCAATACTTGGCCCAGCCCACCCCAGCAGTGCTCAGAGTGCTGTGTAATTCCAGAGGTCAAGGCCTTAAGCATCCCGTTATTCTATCTTCTGGCCAGGAAATTCTCTTTTCATTTTATTTAATGTTTTTGAATTTGGGGGCCACACCTAGTGGTGTGCAGGGTTTATTTCCTGCTCAGTGGTCACTCCTGGAGGTACTCGGGAACCCTATGGGGTGCCGGGAATCAAGGTAGTAATTAAATAAAGCTCAAGGTTGACACAGCTTGGTAGGGGTGAGGAACCTCCTCAGGGGAAGAGAAGCAATTCCCAGTGAAGGTGTGTGGCACAGAGACCACATGTCCCCTGTGTCCACTCAGGGCCTGCAGCCGCCCTGGCACCTATTGGCACTGCAGCCACGTGACTCTCTGCTGCAGAAGTCCCTCTTCAGACAGGCTGAGCTCTAAGACCCAGGGCTCCCCTCAGCAACAAGCCTGCCCTGAAACTTCCTTCTGAATGGGAGAGCCAGGTTGCAGTTTGGCATCTTTCTTCTTGCCTGGGAGGAATGTTTTTTAAAGCCTGACTGCAGTTGGCAGGGGCAGAGGGCCAGCTGATCCCTACTTCCTATTATTCCCAGTCCCCTCATGTTAAACAGGTAGAAAGTAAGATTCAGAGAAAGGGGCTGACTTACCTAAGGTTACAAAAATAATTCCAGCACTGGATCTCACATCTCGCAGTCATGGTCTTTCTGAAGTCCCACACCTCTGTTCTTGATTACACAGGATGCTTTTAACATCTTGGCCTGGCTTTTCCCCACATCCTGAACATTTCCATATGGCTTTTTACTACTTTCAGTGGCCGTGAGTGCAAATTGCACACACAAAATACCTGATCCGAAAATGGTCAGTTTTTCAGATGGTCCAACCTGCTAAAAATTCTTTTGTGCAAACTATGGATTATTTTTGTCTGCAGACATATGAACAGACATTTAAGGTGCAATGGTATATTTGTTATACTAGAAGGATGCTGTAGGAACCCAGAAGCGGGAATAATTAACTTATCCTGAGGGAAATCAGCCCGACTTCTCAAAGGAGGAACATTTGAACAGGTTTGAAGGGATGAATAGGAGTTTATCTGTAAAGGAGGGGATCAAAGAGGGAGTATTTTAGGGAGAGGAAATACTTTTTTTACATACCAGAGTTTTGCAAAAGCCTGTTATATTGGGGAGATAACAGACATACTGGACTTGACAAGGACAAAAAGTGCAGAGAACATGGTCGATAGAGTGAGAGGTGAGATGAGAGAGAAATGAGGCCAACTTAGAAAGGGTTTTAATGCCTAACTGAGGATTCTGGCCTTTAAGGCCCCACTGGAGAGACCTTGTCACAGTAATTTCAATAATTTCTCTTTTTTTCCCTTCCATTATGCTGATAAGGCTGTGTTACTGTGTTACTGCATGAAAGTAATGTTTGGGCATCTGGTGTAGGAGAGATGAATGCAGTATGGGAACTTTTCAACAGTTACAACAGCATTTATGTCCTGGTGGGAGATGAAGAGGATCTCTCCAGGGCGAGTCAAGTAGAAAGGAGGGACAGTCACCTGGTACTCCTGGATGGTGCCACCTGTGGAGAGGGAACACCTATCGTCCTTGTTCTTGACTGCCTGGGGAATATTTGAGATTCAGATTCAGTTCTGTCCTTGAAACCTGTGGCTGTGTGAAATCTTGGGGGAAGAAGTATACTAACAGTTATTTTGTACTTGTGGGTTTATATTTTTCCAGCATTAACTTTGGCTGCACAATACGCCACTCAGTAATTTAGTGGTTAAGACAACAGCCACACTTTATTTAGTTTATGATTACTAGTTGTTAATTTGGTTTGGAACTCACTGCTTCTGCCCTGCTTTTGTGCTGGGCCGGGCTAATCTTGCCTATTCTGGTTGCCCTGAGTCCACGGGGGCAGACAACTTTATATAGGCCTCAGGTTGGGTGTCGAACAGCTGGGGCTTCTCTCGAAAGTGGTCTCTCACCTGCCAGAATCCCACTTGGAGTAGTTTATGTCTTAAAGTGAGAGCAGGATCATACAAAGTTATTTGAGGTCTATGGTTAGAACTTGTTCACCGAAGCTTTGGCTGCTCAAAATTTGCAATCAGACAAATCTAAGCCAAAGCAGGGGATGAGAACAGTCTTGCTTCTAAAGGTAGAGAATTGACTCCACCTTTTTAGTTTGTTTTCTGGCCACACCCAGCAGTGCTCAGGGCTTGCTCCTGGCTCTGTGCTCAGGGATCATTCCTGGAGGTTTCACCATGTATAGTGCAGAATCAAACTTGGGTCAGCTGCATGCAAGGCAAGTGCTCTACCTGCTGTATTATCACTCTGGCCCTCAACTCCACTTTTCCTTTTCTTATTTGTTTAAAATATTTTGTTTTGTTTATTTTACTTAGGCACACTAATTTATAAGGCTTTACTAATAGCAGAGTTTTGGGTATTTAGTGTATTAACTCCAAATCTACTGTCATAGTCGTGTCCTTCCACCAATGACCAAAGTTTCCCTTTCCCTCCCCATTCTACCTCTTAGCAAACTCATTAAAAATTGTTTTTTAAGTACACTTTATCCTTTACCTTTCAAATAGGTTTGCAAAGGCCTGCAGACAGGGAAAGGATTTATGTCCTTTTCTTTTTCAGTCTTTTTCTTAGATTATTTGATTTTCATCAAAGAAAATTGGTCAGTGAGAGATGATAATTGGGATACGAGGAATCTTTTGAATTCAAAGTCAGCATTCATGCAGGATCATGTACTTTCTTGAGTATTATTTCAGTTAATATTCCAGCATCTCCTTTTTTTTTAAACATATGAAGAAATTGGGGTAGGGGGAGTTAAGTGAGATGAAGGGCCTTGCCCAAGGGTTCTGACTGGAAAACTTGGTGTTTGGACTTAGATTTGTCTGATTGCAAATTCAGAGCAGGTGCCATTATAGCGAGTTGCTAAATTGAGGTGGGGAAGACTGAAGTGGTCCTATGTGTTCACCGCCATTGCCATTGCCAGTCTCTTTCTAGGTCACCCTCATCTTTTGGCACAGATCTGGAGGCTCTTCTTGACCCTTTTGGGAGAGATTGAAGAGCCTTTGGTTTCCAGACAGTAGTCTCATGCCCCTACTGCAGGAGCCTGCTGTGCTGAAATGTGTTGGAGATGGTTGCATTTCCTGGGAGAAAGATGTTCATGGGTGAAGCATTCAAATATGGGCTGGTGAATCCCACATGGACTAGGTGAAGCCTCAGGGGTAGACTGATTGGTATTGGCTGCACCAAGGGATATGTACCTTCTAGATGAGAGGCAGGTTTATTAAGGAATAAAATTATTTTCTTTTGTGGGGGCCTCCCAAGAAGTATTTAGGAGGTCTGAGGGCCCCACCAGTGATTTCTGGACAATCCCTGCAAGGGCCCAATGCAAAGCCCGATGTGATGCTACTCTGACTCTGTGGTGTTGGGGGTAGCTGGGTCACCCTGGTGACATTGGGGGCCTCCAAGGTAACACCTGGTGATGACTAGGGGTCACCAGGCGGTACCTGGCCATGCTCCGAGGACCACATGGTGCCATTTTGAACATACGTCCTAACCACTGTCGTACCATATTTGATAGGGTTCAAATATGGTAACACCTACAAGGGTGATTAGAGGTCACCCCAAAAGCCTCTATACCTCTCGGAAAGACTGGCAAGCTACCGAGAGTATTCCGCCCGCACGGAAGAGCCTGGCAAGCTATCCGCTGTGTATTCGATATGCCAAAACCAGTAACTACAACTGGTCCCATTCAACCACTGTACTGTCCCCTGGGCCTAAAATCTTCCTCTTCTCTGAAAGCATTTTGGAAGCTCTTACTTTGAGATCTTGAAAGTAATTTTCTGGGCTGGAGGGATACTATAGGAGGTAAGGCACTTGCCTTGCATACAGTGGACTCTAGTTTGAATCCCTGGCACCTCAATTGGTCCCTGAAAGCACCACTAGGAGTGACCCCTGAGACCACAGCTGGGTGTGGTCCAAACTCCTCCTACATAATGTAATTTCCAATTCTAATTTGGAATTACTAATTCCAAATTAGAATTGGAATTAGTAAGGGAATTACTAATTAATGTATTTCTGTGGTAATCGTTTTATTTGGGCAGCACTTCAGCCATGTTTAATGAGTGGCATATAATGCTGGGGATCAAACCTAAGACCTCATATACAAGGCATGTGTTCTACCTCTTGGGTCTCGCCCCAGCACTGTGCTGTAATCTTAATGACTGGCTGAGGCCTGGCCTAAATCTACCCTCTGGAGCTTAACCAGCAATGGGAGATGGGATCTCATGACTGTGAAATAAGGAGGGGGAGTAGCAGGAAGATACTCAGTTACCAGAGCCAGAGCAAGGCTGGGCCTTGCATAGTGTGTGGGAGGGAGAGGCAGAGACAAGACTTTGTTCTTGGTACCTGGACAGAAAGTGAAAGCTGTGACATTTTGGCATGAGTGGTATTGGCACATACCTTTGGGGCTTCATATAGCCTTAGAGTATGCAGTCTTCCATGTTGCCCTGATTCTTCTGTCTTTATTTCTCTAGAGCTCATCTGTCCTGGATGTAATGGAGTATGCCTCACCAGCGATGTAACTGAACATTTTTTTCTACAGTGCTTTTCTACTGGGCAATCCGATATGGCCAGGGTAAGTTAGGACAAGCAAAGAATCAACTGATCCTTCAAAACTTGTTAAATTGGGGTCGGAGAGATATACAGGTTTGCCTTGCACGTGGCTGATCTAGGTTCAATCCCCAGCATTACATATGATCCCCTGAGCATCACCAGGAGTAATTTCTGAGTGTAGAACCAAGAGTAACCCTTGAGTATCACTGAGTGTGGCCCAAAAACCAAAATATAAAAATTATTAAACTATGGTGCTAAGCATAAGTCTATATTTCTATCATTCCTTATGAGATAATACTTTCATCAGTTTTCTTGTAAATCCTCCATCCATCCATCCACCTGCCCATGCATCCATCCACCTATATCCTTGTCACTACATTTTATTGCTAATTTACTTAATTGAGCCTTAGTCCACCATTTTTTAATGTCCACTAAGTGCCGGGGCCTATGGTGGGTACAAGGGAGACAGAGACCCATCTTCTCTCTAGCCTCAAGGAATTCATAGTTGAATTAGTAAAACTTGGATTTCTCTTTTCTCGTGCCCACGATTGGTTTGTCAGATGGCAGTCTGAGGACAGAGCTGTTGGAATGCAGACTAGTCTGGTTGCCAGTTATTATTCAGGCACAGACAGATGAATTTTTCCCCTATCTCTTTACCACCAGATGTTTTACATCAGCCCTGCAAAGTATTTGCTGACCAAATGAATTTGAACTAGGAAAGGATACAGCATTCTTGGGCCTTGCAAGTCCTGGTGGTGGAAACATCTCCGAAAGCTGATCTGTGCTTACTCTTTCCTGGATGCTGGGGTCACCTTCTGGGGACTCCCACTGCTGTGGCTTCCTCTCTTCTGCCACACTGAACTTTCTGTTTTGCTGTGATTTTCCAGTTTCCTCCCTCCTTACTCCTCGGTGAACTTTTATTTGTCATTCAATATCCACCCCCCCCATATGTTGCCTCTTTATGAAGCCTTTCCTGGAACCCCCTAGAGAGCTCCTGGAAACCCCCCTTGCTTTTTTAGTACTTAGCATTCTTGCATCTCTGAGAGTGTTCTCCACTGGATATTCTTCTCCTCGAGCCTTGAGAGCTGATCTGATCTTCATCTTATTCATGTAACATCCTCAATGGTTTCAGCACAGAACTTACATAAATAGCACCTGAGGCCATTGTTCTTTTAACCACAAAGGATGCTTGTGTGAGCCCCTTTACCTGCTTCACCGCTAGAAGCCCCCCATAATTGTATTCTTAGAGAGTGGAGAAACAGCCCTGCAGGACCGCTACAGCACTTACCCCTCATAAAGAGGTAAGTCCCCAGGAGAATAATGTCCCACCCTCTGCTTCCAGAATTGCTCAGAGTGTAAGGAGAAGAGGGCGGCACACATCCTCTGTACCTACTGCAACCGCTGGCTGTGCAGCTCCTGCACCGAGGAGCACCGGCATGGCCCTTCCCCAGGAGGCCCTCTCTTTCCCCGTTCCCAGAAGGGATCTTCAGGTATCAACTCCCAACCCCTCCCTCCCCGTTCCACCAGCTTACACGCTCTTACACAGTGCTGAACCCTACAGATTCCCTGGAGAAGAACTTTGGGACCTTGTTTTCCTGTGAGTCAAGGGTGGTCTCAAAAATTAAACAAAGAAAGTTTTCCTCTAGCACATAGTTTATTTTACAGTTCCCAGTGGTGGGGTGGGAGATGGTGAGAGATGGTACAGGGAATTACTGTTGAATTGAGTTACTGTGGAAAGCAGGCTGAGTTCATCTCAAGCAGAGTAACCATGCCTCACTTAGAATTAGTTACTTGATTTAATTTAAGAACCTGGATTAGGGTTTTACCCATTTGTTTATCCAGAACCATCTATTTTATTTACTTTTTTGTGGCTCTGGAGGCCATATCCAAGGCCCATGCACATGCAAGTCAAGTAGTCTATCACTGTATTGCATCCTGACACCCTCCCCCAATTTGTTTCAAATGACAATTCTTCCTCAAAGTATTTTCCCAAGGTCCTGGACCATGGGAAGAGGGAGTTTTCTTTGGTCAGCCCCACAGGAGTTAGATATCACAATCCATATGCTCTAGTCAGGATCTTGGCAAGTTTGAGTAGCTGGTTTTAGGTGCATTTTCACAGAATCCTGGTTAAGGAAGCGTTTAAGTCTGAAACTGGCAGGAGACATTCTGAAGGAGATCCTTGTGCAGCAGTAGCAAGTTATTACTCAGCCTCTGGCACATGGGACACCTGGGACTTGATAGTTGGTGGTTCTGGCATGTGGGCATATTCAGTTGGCTTGAGCCTACATGGGGGTGTTTTCTGCTTGCATTGAGGGCTACAGGCCATGTCTTTCTTCCAAGCCCGTGTCTGACCTGTGCCCACTGAGAGCTGAGGGCTGAGGGCTGCTCAGTTGAGCGTAAGATCTTCCAGGGCAAAAGAAATCCACTTTCTCCATCTTCTCTGGCAGGAGTGAATGGTGGTGCTGGGGACTATGCCTTGTACTGTCCTCTACACACTCAGGAAGTGCTGAAACTTTTCTGCGAGACCTGTGACGTGCTTACGTGCCATAGCTGCCTCATGGTGGAACATAAAGAACACAGGTTGGATGGCTGACTATCCAAAGAGTGCTTGCGAGGGGAGGGAGACGGGGAGGGGGTCGGAAATCAAAATCCTCTCTGTGGCTAAGCTGGCCGGTAGACCCTGGGCTGAAGTATTTAGTGCTGTTGTGGGACTTCTCTGGAGAAGGCCTGAAGGACCAAGCCTGCAGTATTTCTGACTTTCCCTCAATATAATTCCAGCTTGCTTGTGGCCTAGCTGAGATGGTGCACTGTGAGGATTCTTGCTTGGCTGTCATGCTTAGTGTAAGCCCTCTTCAGCCTCTTCTCTACCTCTTCCTTTAGGTGTAGACATCTTGAAGAAGTCTTGCAAAACCAGAGGATGCTTCTGGAAAGTGTGACTACACAGGTGGCGCATAAGAAATCCAGCTTGCAGACATCTGCTAAGCAAATTGAGGACAGGTAACACAGGCGAGGCCCCTATCAGTACTGAACATGACCGTTTCCCTCCCATCCTGGGTCTCAGTGTGTCTGAAGAGGACAGGTAGACATTGGCACATGCCCCAGAAGGCCTATATCCTATAAGACCTATATAAGACCTATAGCTCTGGCCTTAGAAGCCTTAGAGTTAGTGAGTATGAGTCTGAGCCAGAGCAGGTGCCTCCTGAAAGTGCTTACAAACTAGTCAGAGTTAGGTGCTTGAGAAATAAGGCCACAGAGCAGATACGGGGTGTAGAACGTTGCTTATCATGAGGGTGTGGTAGTCTGCTCTGTATTTGCCCACCAGTGAGGGCAATTAGTACATCAAAATACTCTCCATTCCCGAGCCCTGGGCTGCAGTTTGTCACTGTTTCTCCTGTGGGGCTTCCCAGTGTCTTTTGTGTTTGTCTATAAGTGACATGCAATTGTTGGCATTTTATGTTAAGAATTCATAGAGTTAGTCATGCGGGAGGCTCTGGGTTGGACACCATATGTTCATTAGTTTATCCATTCTTAGAGTTCTTTGAGTTGGGGATTATCTGTGTTATGAGGAGACAGGTTCAGTGAGTTTGGGTGACCTGTCTAAGATCACATAGCTAATTAATGACTGAACTAGGAGTAGAAGTTATGTTTGTGTGTCAAAGCTCTGTCACTGTCACACTGTCACTGTCCTCCCGTTGATCATTGATTTGCTTGAGTGGACCCAGTAACATCACCATTGTGAGGCTTGTCACTGTTTTTGGCATATCGAATACATCACAGGTAGCTTGCCAGGTTTTGCCATGCAGGCGAGATACTCTCGGTAGCTTGCTGTGCTCTCCAAGAGGAGTGAAGGAATCGAACCTGGGTCGGCCGTGTGCACGGCAAACGCCCTACCCACTGTGCTATCGCTCCAGCCCATGTCAAAGCTCATTCTTCTTTTTTTTTTTTTGAGACATCTTTACTGATTTGTAATTTACATAGCATTAACTTCATTTTTTAATTTTATGGTTCCAGGGATTAAGCCCGAGGTCTCTTAGATGTAAGACAAGAGTTCTATCACTGACAGTTTGACCTTATGTTATCTTTGAAAAATGTATAATTCAGTTATTTTTAGTAAATTTATAGAAGTTATATAGACATTATGTTACTGTCTACTTTTAGGATATTTCATGACCACAGACAGAAACCCCTCTACTTATTATCAGTCACTTCCCATTCCCTTAAAATCCATAGCACACATTCTATACCCTTGGCTAGTACATTTTCTGATTCTATATATGCTCTTTTTACCAGCTGGCACTAAATGTTAAGTGTAGCATCATTATTTTAAGATAACATCTTAAAATACGATAACACAGGTTATCACTCTTTGTCCTGCCACTAGTGGTGTATGAGTTGGTAGATTCACCTGTGTGTACTTGAGTTTACTTAGGAAACTGAGCTGGTGGATTCACCTGTGTGTGTACTTGAGTTTACTTAGGAAAAATCAAATTGGATTTTGGGCTTGTGGCTCATTAGATCTAGTGGTCTGGGTTGTATTAGGGTGGAGTGACAGATGAAGGTTCTCCTTTCTTTGTGGAAAGAAATGGGTGTCCATTCAACTCTAAGCTTAATAGTCTTCCTTCTGTTGAGGCACTTTGTTCTTTCAGACTTGGAGGAAAGGACTCACCATGCTCTATTCTTTCCTTCTCATTTTTTTAAACAGGATTTTTGAGGTGAAACATCAGCACAGGAAGGTGGAAAACCAGATCAAAATGGCCAAAATGGTTCTGATGAATGAGCTAAACAAACAGGCCAATGGGCTGATAGAGGAGCTGGAGGTAATGGTTCACCTGAACGGGTTCTGGGCTCGCCTGGTTAGAAACCAGGCACATGCAAAACTGGTTCCAGGATTTAATGTGCCATTCCAGTAGCTCTTGGCTGATCCCTGTTCTTTAGATCCCTGTTCTAGTCTTTGGGAGGATGACTTCTCCAGGGCTGGAAAATTAGTGCTAGCTCCCATCAGTGCTGTGGCTCTAAGCTCAGCTGTTGTCCTGGACCGTGCAGTTTCATCGCTTTGGAAGAGTTGCACGTCCAAGTGATATAAATAAACATTCATTCATTTCCCCAGTCCTAAAATATGTCTATCCACCTTTTCTCTTGCCTTCATCCCTCTGTCCTGCTGTCTTCCTTGTAGGGCTGCCGTCCAGTTTGTTTCCATGGGCATTCATACTGTTGCACAAAGGCCGCCAGACTTGCCAAAAGAATGGACTGCAGTCCAGGAGCAGGAGCAGGGACTCACTTGTTCTCTCTTTCTTCATACCCAGGGCATTACAAACGAGAGAAAGCGGAAACTGGAGCAGCAGTTACAGAGTATCATGGTTCTCAACCGGCAGTTCGAACATGTGCAGAATTTCATCAACTGGGCTGTCTGCAGCAAAACCAGCATCCCCTTTCTTTTCAGCAAAGAGCTGGTAAGAAGAATTCCCCATCCTAACTCACAGCCTTAGAGTTCATAAGTGAATGTCATCTTTTACAAAAGCCCACAGTGCAAAGGACCCATGAGCTGAAAAGACAAACTCTGTAGTTCTTGTCTTAGGTCATAGTTTTTCAGACGATTATTCTGGGCACAACCAGGGGTGTGTTGTGCATCCCACAGAAGGTTGTTTGTGTTTAAGTAGGGGATGAAGAGGAAAGCAGGAGCTGTAGAGAGGAGTTAAAGTGATGGGCATCTGGGGAAGCTAATGCCCAGGAGGAGCAAGCAATTGAAAGAAATGGAAAGTTTTGATATTTGGATATGTGGAATTCTAAAGGGAAAAATCCACTCTCTGGTTTTAATAGAAGAGCCAGGGTGTCAGAAGAAAAGCCGTGGCTGGAGACAGAGCTGTGGCATCACTGCAGTTCAAGTGGTACCACCTTGAAAGAGCGAATGAAGGATGAAGAGAAGAACAATTTGAGAACCCAGGGAAACACCATTGTTTTCAGTTGAGATAGTGGGAGGGAATGTGTGAAGGGGAGTGGAGCCATGATCCATGATCAGAAATCGAAACAGAAGGAGGAGCATTGTGCAGAAGCCAGCAGAAAATCCCCCAAGATTTTAAGTGGGGGATGCTATTGTTGCCACATAGGTGAGAGAGGACGAGTAATGACGTGAAGTCTGGAAATCTAGAGATCAGGAGACTATCCCTGGGGATCTCTTGAAAGAAATCCTAGAAAGGTAGAAGGCTCAGACACTTGACTCAAGCAACTAAGGGTGGGGATTGAGAAGAAGAGGCAGAAACGAGAAGAAGGAAAACAAAGAAGTAGTTTGGAAATCAAAAACTGGAACTGAGGGATAATATTTTGGGGGTGAGATGAGGACTGAGCCCAAAGCCTCACATATATTAAAAACATGCACTTCACCACTGAGCTACATTGATGACCTTTAAAAAATTTTTAAATAATAGAAAACATTAGCACACACTTATTTTGAAGAAGAGTTATAGAGGACACAGACTTGTACATTTGAGAACTGAAAGCGATAAGAATGTAGAGGTTCCATAGGTGGTAAAAAATGGGCACTGGTGGAGGGATGAGTACTTGACCATTGTATGCCTGAAACGCAAGCACGAAAGTTTGTAAGTCTGCAACTATACCTCACAGTGATTCATTAATAAAAAATTACTGTCCACACTGTCACTGTCCTCCCGTTGTTCATTGATTTGCTCTAGCAGGCCCAGTAACGTCTCCATTGTGAGACTTCTTGTTACTGTGTTTGGCATATTGAATACTCTCAGTAGCTTGCCAGGCTCTCGAAGAGGGGAGGAGGAATCGAACCTGGCTTGGCCAGGCTGGCTGTGCGCAAGGCCAATGCCCTACCCGCTGTGCTATCTGGAGCGATAGCACAGAGGTAGGGCATTTGCCTTGCAAGCGGCCAACATAGCCGACCCGAGTTCAATACCTCCGCCCCTCTCGGAGAGCCCGGCAAGCTACTGAGAGTATCTCGCCTGCACGGCAATAAAAAATAAAAAAAAAAAAAAAGGAAAAAATGTAGAGGTTTCAAAAGGTTTCAAAAATAAAAAGACAGGGAGAGGGTATCAGTGTGGTGTAACGGGAGGAAGAGGATGTAAAATAAAATACTAAGGTGCTTATGGGAGGGGACCAGGGATTAAAGAGTCACGTGCAGAAGCCCCTCAAGAGAGAGGGTTGACACTTAGGCTATGAAGTTCAAAGAAATGACCTTAGTCCTCTTGTCAGATTGTTTTTCAGATGCAGCGATTGTTAGAGACAAATTGTAACACAGATCCTGGCTCCCCCTGGAGTATCAGATTCACCTGGGAACCGAACTTTTGGACCAAGCAGCTGGCTTCCCTCGGTGAGCTAGGACCCACATGGGGGTGGGGCTTTTGAACTGCTGAGTGAATACAGAGCATCTGTTCCACCTACTGGATTGGTTGACATGCCCGAGAAGGTTCTCTCTCAGACTGCAGGTGTCATGGAATCATTCACAACCCTCCCTCTGCGCCCCCCCCCCCCGACTTTATCCCTTTTGGTGGGGAGTGGGGTTGTGAGGGGATAATGAGCAATCTGAAGAGCCATGACAATGAGTTTCACATTCTGCATGAAATGTCCCGTCACCTCATTTCACTGCTGGAGAGGAGACAAGAGAGGCCCTGGTCTCCAGAATGCTGCAGGTGAACCTGTGTTTCTGAGCTCATGCAAGGGTATGCTTGGACATGCTTGCCTATGTCCCCTGTCTGAGGTAACTCAGGAGTTGGAGAGTGGAGAGAAAGTCTTATACAGCCCTTGGAGTTTATATGTACACAGATAATCCACAATTTGGTGCATTTCTGTTTCCTATTGCATTATTTTGCTGGCCTTTTGTCTTCAAAATGCAGAATGCGGTCAACTTGAAGCAGTGTCTATGTTGGTGACCCGATGTCATTAAAACTCATGGCCAGTTTCTGCCTCCACCTAGGATATGTATCTTATTGAATGCTTTTTTTTTTAAACTTGATAGAATGGTGAATAGCTTTAGGTCTATTTTCTGTCTCCCACTCCCCTCTCATTTAATTCAGGAGAGCTAGGGTGGGCCTCTGCTCTGGGTCAGACCCCATGCTGGGTATTCAGGGACCAAGGGTGAGTAAAACACACCTCCTGCCCTCCGGGAGCTTCATTTTCTTCTAAGGCAGCCTCATCAAAACGGTGAGCTGTGGGCTGGAGAGATAGTACAGTGGGTTAAATGCTCACCTTGCACATATCCAACCTGGATTTAATTCGCAGCACTCTTGAGTCTACCAAGAGTGATCCATGAGCACAGAGCCAGGAGTAAACCCTGAGCCCAGCTAGGTGTGGCCCCAAACCCAAAACAGCCCAAAACAAACAAAAAATCTCCCGGTGAGCTACAGGAACCTAGGGGCTAGGAAACAGCTGCACTAGTGATCATCTCCTCCTGGATAAGGCCCGGAGACCTCCAAGCAGGGCTCGTGCTTGCCGCTGGCCTTCCCCACGTTTCTCTTACTTGCCCAACTCACAGTTCCCAAGACTTTGTTTGAAGACTGCTTATTTTCCTGGGATGTTTCTTCTTTGGTTCATTGCCTCTCCCCATTGTCCCCAGAGTTCAGCTTTCTTTTTCGTCCTGAGTTTCTCTTAGGCTCTGTTTAAGGGTGGGGGGAGGGGAGAGTTGAAGCGATACCACAGCCGGTAGGGCATTTGCCTTGCACGCAGCCGACCCAGGTTTGATTCCCAGCATCTCATATGATCCCCCTACCACCGCCAGGAGTAATTCCTGAGGGCATGATCCAGGAGTAACTTCTGTGCATCACCGGGTGTGACCCAAAAAACAAACAAACAAACAAACAAACAAGCAATGGGGGCCCAGGGGATTACATAATGGTTCATATGGAATCAGAACACACTTTCTGGTTAGGATCCCTGATGTCTTAATGATCCTAAGTCCCTGGAATATGTCCCTAGGAGGATTCAGTGTGAGACAACTGAGTTTTGGAGACTAGGGGTCGGATTTCTTGCACCTGCATCCTGCATGGATTTGTTGATTGATGATCTTGGGTCCCAAGAGCAGGAGGCTGAGCAACTACAGATTCCCTTAGGAAACGCTCTCTCTTCTGAATTTCCAGGCTGTATAACCACTGAAGGTGGCCAACTGTCCCGGGCTGAAACTCCTGCTTATGGCGCCCTCCAGGGACCATCATCATTCTATCAAAGCCACCAGTCCTCTGTGACCCAGCAAGAGACTCTTAGCCACCCCTCACACAAGTTCCAGTCGTCAGTGCTGTGCTCCTCTTCTGTCTGCTGTTCCCACTGCTCCCCAGTCTCGCCCTCCCTCAAAGGCCCGATGCCCCCACCCAGCATGCACCCCACCCACGGCTTCCGGCAACCCTCCGAGATGGTGCCCCCACACATGGGACCACTGCAGTGCTCCAGCCTGATACCCAGGGAGAAGGAGCTGGTCTGCAATCCTCACCCGCCCAAGCTGCTGCAGCCCTGGCTGGAAACCCCGCCCACCGTGGAGCCAGAGAGCACCCCCCAGAGACTGGGGCAGCCCCTGAGTTCCCAACCGGTGTGCATCGTGCCCCCGCAGGACGTGCAGCAAGGAGCCCACGCCCCGCCCCCCGTGCAGGCCCCGTCCATCCAGGTGCAGTTCGGCCACCACCAGAAGCTGAAGCTCAGTCACTTTCAGCAGCAGCCACCGCAGCCGCCGCCGCCCCCACCCCCTCTGCCGCCACCACCCCAGCAGCAGCCCCCCCAAACTCTACCTCCGTCTCAGCACCTGGCCTCCGGCCAGCATGAGAGCCCCCCTGGACCTGCCTGCTCCCAGAACGTGGACTTAATGCACCACAAGTTTGAACTGGAGGAGATGCAGAAGGACTTGGAGCTGCTCCTTCAGGCCCAGCAGCCCAGCCTGCAGCTGAGCCAGACCAAGTCCCCTCAGCATCTGCAGCAGACCATCGTGGGCCAGATCAACTACATTGTGAGGCAGCCAGCCCCTGTCCAGTCCCAGAGCCAGGAGGACACCGTGCAGGTGAGCCTCAGGCTGGCTTGGGACACCTTCTCCTGTTCTAGGGTCACTCAGGGAACAGGGGCGCAGACAGGCATCGCAGGAGCGCACAGCTTCTTCCTTTTGATTGGTCTTGAGATGAACCCTGGACCCCTCTTGGGCCCGTAGTTGGAAAGCTTCAGAGCACATCATGTCTGAGCCCCAACTTGTATCCAGGTTCAGTGCTCTCCAGAGTGACCCACCTTTGTCCTTTTTGGGGTGATAAAGGGCATTCTCCATGAATGGAGCTTTCTTTTTTCCTCTGTGTTAATGTATTTATTAATTAATTATTATTATTATTAGAGAAACACCATGAGGTACAGTTGTAGACTTACAAACTTTCATGCTTGGGTTTCAGTTATACAATGATCGAGTACCCATCCCTCTACCAGTGCCCATTCTCCACCACCAGTGATCCCAGTAGTCCTCCCACTTCCCCTCCCATCTTCCCACCCTGCCCCGCCTTTGTGGCAGGGCATTCCATTTTGGAATGGAGCTTTCTGAGCTGGGCTAGACTCCTTCCTGGACCATGGAGGATGGGAGTCTATCACTGACCTTTGTAACCTCTCCACTTACCCTGCTGAATCTTGTGAACCCCAAATAGGAAGAAGTGGGGGCGGGTATTTAGAAGGGCAGTCAGTGCTAGTGGGCAGCATCTTGTAATACTACATCTATAAGCTTGAATGCAGCTTATTTCAAGCCTGTAAGTTAGGTCTATTGTGTACACACACATTTGTCCTCTCAACAGCATGCTAGAGAAGCATTATCATCAGTGCAAAGGGGCAAAAGGAAGGGATCAGAAGGTGCAAACAGTTTGCCTAGAGATCACAGAGCTGGGAGGTAGAGCCAAGACATGGATCGGGGTCACTGCTCTGACAGTCACAGAACAGTGTGGTTCTCTCCCTAAGCGGCTGATGGATTCTGCTCCTCTCTCTTATAGCCACAAGCAGCTGCAGTGTGTACCTCTGGGATCTTTGCTGCATTCCACATCTTCATTCTTAACACTTGCTATTCTTTTGTTCTAGATATTTCTGTTCCAGACCCTTCCCTTTCTCCCTTGACACCTTTCCTACAATGTCTTTAAATTTGTAATCACAGTTAGAGCCTCAAAGCAACTTGATAGAATTTATGCTTGATTACATAATGTGTGTGTATACAAAATACATGGCATCACATTTGTGCCTTTGTGCTGATAACTTCAGATCATGCTTCAACTGATGTTCGGTTCCTTTGAAGGGGATATAGAATAATCCCCATGATGGCAGAGAAGGGTGTAGGGTTCAGAAAGGACCACCAGCTAAATGTAAGTTAAAAATGATTATAAAGGTTAAATTGAACACAACAGAGGTTAGCTCAGAATTCTTTATTTCAATTTTATCCTGCCCGCATGGCAGAGCCTGGCAAGCTCCCCGTGGTGTATTCAATATGCCAAAAAACAGTAACAAGTCTTACAGTGGAGACATTACTGGTGCCCGCTCGAGCAAATTGATGAACAATGGCACTATAGTGCTACAGTGTAATTCTATCCCAGCACTCATATTAAGATGCTGTTTTAGGAAGAATTTAGCTAAAATTTATTTTTTTAAATTCTCACACAAATATTTAAAATCAGTTTATGATGAGAGAATGGTGACAGTGGTTAGTATATGGTGGGTCTTAGCTACTGCTCCTCTCTCCTGAAACCCACCCCAAGTCCTTATGTTTCTCTTTTAGGCTGCAGACGAGCACCCAGCATCTGAAGGCTCCAAGCCAGCTCTCCCTCTTGATAAGAATACTGCTGCTACCTTGCCCCAGGCCTCTGGGGAAGAAACACCTCACAGTGTCCCCCCACTGGACAGCACCATCCAGCACTCCTCTCCAAATGTGGTGAGAAAGGTACAGATGGAGCCCACTCTCCCCGATGACATGGGACCCACTGCCAGCCAAGACCCCAGAGATCTGGATGAGGATGATTGGGTGGGGGGAGGAGTGTCCCTGATCCAGCCCTGGATGTCACACAGTCCTGAGTCATGCATCCTGTCCTAACTCTCCAGAAGTGTGGGGCCTTCCTCACCCTCACCTCCACTCCCAACTACCCACTGAAAGTGGAACCCACTGGGCGGGCTTTTAAGGTGGAGGGGGGGAAGGGAAAAAAGCCTATCCATTGAAAATTTTGTCCTTGGTGCTTCCTTCACAAGTATCATCTGGATTAACCAGCTGTGAGATAGGTACCCCCCTTTCAGACCTAAGCAAATAGACATCCTGGGCTCTGTTGCTAGTAGGTGAGTTGGCCGAGCTTCATTTGGATGAAGGTCAGTCAGATTCCAAAACCTGATCTACTACTTCTCTGCAAAGATAGCACTGTCGTCCCGCTGTTCATCAATTTGCTTGAGTGGCACCAGTAACATCTCCATTGTGAGACTTGTTGTTACTGTTTTTGGCATATTGAGTACGCCACGGGGAGCTTGCGAGGCGCTGCCGCGTAGGTGGGATACTCTTGGTAGTTTGCCGAGCTCTCTGACAGGGATGGAAGAATCGACCCGGGTCAGCCACGTACAAAGCAGACACCCTACCTGCTGTGTTATAGTTCCAGACCTCTGCAAAGATTTGGGAGAAATATCTCATGTGGCCCCACAACCCAAAGTTGGTTGGCATTTGAATGTGAATCTGTGGCATTTATTGGGTGCGTGGTCTGCAAGGATGTCCTGCCCAGAGAGGGAGCCGAGCTTGTGGGGACATGGGTTTCTTGGAGATAAGCTATTGGAGGTCTTCTGTTTGCTCATATATGTTCCCTTTATGCTGGCAATAGAGGACCACGCCTCATCTGCCCTCCTTCCTTCTTGCCCTTCACCTCCATCCCTAACACTCTAATTAGTCGGAACCTGGCCCTTCCTCCCCTTGGCATTCTTGTGTCTCTTGGCTCTGTTCCACGTCTCTTTTTGCTGTTCCTCACAACAGCTATTTGGCAGTGTATACTTGAATCTCTGTTATCGAGTCTGTCCCCTCCAGGCCTGTCCCCTGAAACCTGTAGCAGCCTTGTGGCCTACAGCCCCAGCACCTGAAGTTGCTCTGTATGTATAGCCTGGCCCACATTTCCCCCTGAAGCACCATTGCCACATAAGCCACATATGTCATGTATGATCAAGCTTTCTACTCCTGTGGACTGTTACTATTCTGTTCACTGACACCCTACCTGCTGTGTGGTTGAAACTGATGTTAGATCACTTGCTCTTACTAATATTTGAGAAGGGGGTATTGAAAAATAAGAGTTGGCAAAAATAAAACGTGAACTTGGAAATGCCTGATGGTTATTGAGAATGGGCATTCTTGAAATAGGTGGTGTTTGGTTATGCCTGATCTGCCCAACTCTACAGGCTTGCTGCAGAGTACATTAGTGTGCTACAAATAGCTCTCGGGCTACTTTACAACCATCTAGGCATTTATTTTTTCAATATTCTTTATATATATTTTCTACTGTGTCATATTTTGCTAGGTGCTAGGCATATATTTATGAATAAAACAGTTTCACAGTGACGTTTCCACAATAGAAGGGGAAATAGTTAAAGAGGGATAACAATCAAGTGTTATAAATACTGTCACTGTGTTAGTTAGTGGGGATACCTAACCTCAGGGAAGGAAGTAGTGTTATTCACAGAAGACTTCCTTACCAGACAGGATTTTGAACTACATGTTGAAGGAGGGGAATTTAGACTGGTAAAGGGAGGAGGGGCTGGAATAACAGTCATTTGTGAATGGCAGGTAGGAAGGTCTGGAAGGGAGAAACCTTGGGGCACTTGGATTTCAGATCTTTTGGAGTTGTTTGGACATGGGAAATAGTGGGAAATATTGGGAAATGGGCATGATGGGAGGCATGGCAGTTATACTCTGAGGTAGAAATTTGAAGTCTCGAGTTTTTTGAGTCGTGATTGTAAGATCTCTAGGAGGGGAGGAATGTAGTTTAGGTTAATTATTAGAAAGGAGACCAAAGTGGTACAAACTGAAACCAGTAATATGGGAATAAAAAGGAAGCAAGGACTTGAAGAGATTCTGGATTTCCACTGAGTTTCTGGATGTGGAGTCTGGTTCAACATGCAAAGGGAGGAAAATCCCAAGTCTAGACACTGAGGTTTGTTTTGACCCTTGATATTGTCATTCTTTGAGCTAGAGAATAGGAAGACATACAGCTTGGGGGGTGAGGAGTGTTAAGTTTTGAGTGGATGTGAATCTACTGTGACGTTACATTGAAGATAGGTGCCAGTAGTTCGAATGGAAACATGAGAAATTGCCAGCGCTCAAATCAGTGGAGGCAGGGCAGAATATACTGCTGCATGTATGATAAGTCTTGAGTTTGTTCCCATACCCAGTGAGCTGCCTCTCAGCATGGAGTTTGTGCTATAGAGGAGGTGTTCTACTGGGTACCCAAACAGCACAGAACAGTTCCCTTTGTGTGGCAGGTTAGTAGTAAGGCTAGTGGAGGCCTTAACTCCTCATTTGACTATACCTGACCCTATCTACTGGCTCAGGCAGAGATTTGGAGGACAGGTGATTTATATTTCAGCTATTATAGCATGGATTTCCAGAAGAGCCATAAGGTTGCCATCCTAGCACAGAAGAACCTTTGGTTCAACTTGACCAAGAGAGGTACTGGTTCTACACAAAGCTACTGAAATAAGGAAGCATTTGTTGAAGGCATTTGCTAATTTGAATTGCTGGAACTGAGCATGGTGGAAGGTTTAATACCAAAGAATGCTATCATTAATAATACCTTGTACAGCGTTTTCCTATGTTTTACCATAGAATTTTACCATAGAATTTCATTTTATCTCTTTGTTTACCCTAGAAAAACTATGAGGAGGCCATTTTCTTATTCCCCTTTGAAAGATGTGGAAACTGAGACAAAGAGAGGTTAAGTGACACACCTGAGTCATACGGCTGACTACTGGCAATGTTGGGGCTAGAGCCCAGATTCCCAACTCAAGCCTGTGTTCAGAGATGAGGTTACATGGCCTCTATTTGGTCACTGTGGTGTGTGTGGGAAGGGGGACTCTTATTTGACCCCTTCCTCACTTGCCACATTTCCCTGTCTTTATAACCTTTGAAATGACCCGAGGCCTTGCTGGGGAGAGGCCTGGGAGACCCAGCTTAGCTTGTTTTTAATCTTTATTGGTTCTCCTGCCCACTTGCCAGCCTGAGCTGGCCTGTGGTGCCTGAAGAATCAGAAGTCCTTCGGATGCTCCCAGGTTAGAGGACTATGCCCCCTGGCATTTGGTGCACTGTGTCCTGCACGGTCTGGTTCTTGCTCTGAGTTCCTCACTGACACGAGCATCGCAAGGAGGACCTTTGTTAGAACGTTGCAGCAGAGCACAAGCACAGAGGCACTGGCATTGACTTGAGTTGGTGGTGAAAACAAATGGCTGCTGGAAGTGATATGTGGAAATTCTAGGATGAGCTTGCCATCTCAGGAGCTGCTTACTTCAACACCTTCCCTTGCCCAGCAGGATGTTAACTGTTGACATCTGTCTGCACTAAGCTTCCTAATCTTGATTCAGTCACTCTGAAGCACCGTGGTGACAGCTGCACAACAGAAACCCTGAGTGGAATGAAAAGGCGTTTTGATGTCTTCATTTCATGCTTTGGAACTTATCGAATGCTAACGACTACACTTCTCCCTAAAGCTCTCACGGAGTCAAGACCGTAGGCATACGGAGAGCCCTCTCTGAGTCCAAATCTGCCTGTTCTGGTGGCCCTGGACCTTCAACAGATGGCGTGACTTGAGAGGAATCTGGGAGGCATTTCAGTCTAAGATGCTAAAACAGCAGACTTTTACTGTGGGCCAGATAATTAAGAGTGTTGACCAAAAGTGAAGGAAAATAAATGTTTATTTGCAATTATAGCTCTTTGATGCATGAGCTCTTAGTATGCTCTCACAACACAGTGAAATTTCTGTTGACCAGTGAAAGAGGAAATTGAAGTGCAGAAATAGGAAATGCTTTTCTTATACTCATTCTCTACCCCTTGCCTACATGAGGAAAATGTTAGGCATCCCTTCTTCACACTTTCCAAAGCCTCTCCTATGGATTAGATCATGAATCTCAACCTCTGCAACAGTAATTTGCTCAGAGTCTGGCCCTGACCACAGTGATCACAGCTTTTGCAGAATAGCCCCATGTCCTGAAGAGGCTTTCTTCAGGCACATCCTGGCCAGTGTGTGCAGAATCTTAAGGATAACTGCCTTGTCCTACTCAGGAATCAAGTCAAACACCCTAGGCCTACTTCTTTGAATTTACTTCCTCAAATATAGAAAATTTTCTTGGTTCAGGCCTGATCACAACCACAAACCAAGCCTTTGTTGAGATCTCCCAGTCCAACAGAACACAGACACTTGCTTCTCAGCCTTGTATTTCCTTATACTGTTGCGACCAATATGCCTCGAGGTTGATTCTTCTGAGTCTCCAAGATTTGAGTACTGAAGTATTCATTCAGTATGGGTTTCACTTGAGATTTATGGAAATTCACTTATTCCTCTCCCTTATACCTTGGCTTTCTCTCCTATAAATACGACTCTGGGATCCTCTTTGCTTTTTCTGTCTTCACTGGATCATGAGGGCACTGAGTACTCTTTAGTTCTTCTCTCTACACTACCCACAAATATCTTTCCATATGCCTCTTCCGTGAGCATACACAACATAGTGAATACAGGAATAGCCTCAATTCATATCAGAGTTTTTCACTGAGGTGGTGAACTACTCTCTGTTAATAAGAGCAATAACTTCACTTTTTAAAATCATTTTGTGGGGACCGAAGAGATGGTACAGGGAGTAGGACTTTGCCTTACATGCAACCAACCCAGGTTCAGTTTCTGGTTCTGTATATGGGCCCCTGAGCACCTCCAGTTA